AATAATTTTGCGTCATCAGCATAAAGTAAGTGTTGACTATTTATTGCATGTCCGATATCATTAATATACCGGCTGCATTTAAAATGACTCTCCAAATTTTTTCTAGGCATTAGGTATCGTTAATAGATCACATATATGAAAAAAAAACGGGTATGTAAAATTTTCAAAATGAAATGTAAACTTGTTGCAATTACAAGATAATTATAACATTCGCATTGTCACATTAGTTATGAATAAAACAAGGCAGCAGCGGTAGCAAGGGCGCGGGCGCAGGGGATGTACGCGCATGCGCCAACAACAATGTCTGCTCGGTTTTTTATTTTGTCGGCGCACATCAGTCAGTCGCCCGCGCACAACCCCTTTGAACGCATGCGCTTCCGCCTGCCTTTGCTTCCGTGTTGCGCACCGCCCGTCGCAGCGCCACATTTCACGCGTCGTAATGTATTCCAATCGCGAATATTATGAAATGGTGCAGTGTTACATACATGGTGATCAACGTGACGCGGAGGCCCCATCGTGGGGCCTGCGCGATCGCCGGACCTACCACAGTGTGACTTTTATTTGTGGGGCGAAATTAAAAGACGTGTGTATGTTGAGGAAGCACAAAGCCTCGAGGACTTAAAAGTGCAAATCAGAGCGGCATTTTACCAAGTGAAAAATGGCACGGTAGTGCTCGCAAAATTAAAAGACAATGTGCGGAAAAGGTGCAAGACTCTGTTTGGAGAGGAACGGTATGTACTTTGAACAATTATTAAAGTATACGTAGGTAAATAGTTAAAGTAGGTAGGTAAATTGATTAGTTGATTATGTACATAAAGTTGATGATTTTTTAAATACGCCTGATTGCAAAAGAATAGCGAGTTAAGTACCTACTTTGAATTGGTTTAACTAAACAGAATTTTAGGTAACTCGATAATTACTTACCTACTTACTTTATAAATTTGAAGCAGTATAGCTATTGTAATAGTAGGTATCTAATAGGATTTATGCAATTTGACGGTCCTAAGCCCGTAAAAGTATGAAGAGGTTTCAACTTTATTTATCATTTCCCCAAGCATGACAAAACGAAAACATTTTAGGTAGCTGCTATTATTACTATCAATGAATTGCGGCAAGGGAGGGAGGGGTAAGTGTAACGTAGCGCGTAAAGCGCATGTACTGGGCAGCGAGAGCGTCCACAAATGTAGGTTTTTTGAAAATAACTTGGTGACGATATAACTCAACATATTTGTTCTAAACGACATAAAAAGAAAAAACACGTATTTCATTATTTGTCGTAAAGATTAACATACTCAAATTTGGAGAGTGGTTTTAATTGCTTGCTGTATAAAGAAAAAAGCAGTGGGCCTAAATCCGAACCTTGAGGAACGCCGGATGGTACTGGAAGAAATTGTGAAGCCCTTTGACACAAACTGCCTGAAACCTATTTTTTATGTAAGACTCGACCCATCTAAGTAGATTGCCGTGTATACCGGCTCTTGCTAGCTTGTCAATGAGCAGACAATGATTAATTTTATCGAAAGCCTTGGAAAAGTCGGTATATACGACATCAACCTGTGAATTATCATCCATTGCTTGTAGTAAATAGTCAGTAAATGTCGCCAGATTAGTTTCAACCCTTCTAAGTTTAAAAAACCCGTGTTGTTGAGGAGATATATAATTACGAACGGCAACAGCGATCTGGGATGTTACTATTTTTTCTAAAATTTTACCCAAAACACACAGCTTGGATATTGGCCTTTACTCTGTTAAAATATCTCTACTACTATTTTTTGGAATAGGAGTTATCAAAGAATATTTCCACTTCGCAGGAAAAACTCCTTTCTCCAAAGAAGCATAAAACAATATAGTAACAGGTTTCGCTAGCTCTCTTTAGCACAATTGGAAATGAGAATCGGATGAATACCATCAAAACCAGCCCCTTTGTTGATGTTAGTACATTTAAGCTCTTTCAAAACTATGTCAAAGTTTACATTTACAGAATTCATATCAACAATTGAGATACTATCTTTGCCGATAGTGATTCTGATGAGAGGCTTGATGACGAAATGAAAACGGAATGGAAGTATCTATTAAATTGCTCACAAATCTCATTGCCACAAGAAAAAGTTTTATTTTTATGAAACACCTGAGCTGGAATATCATGTCTATTTTTTTTTTAATTTAACATATGACCAAAACCACTTTGGATTCCTTTTGATGTTATCTTCAGAATGTTTTATAAATTGCTTGTAACAATTTGCTGACATTTTTTGAAATCGGTTTCTAAGTACTGAAAATGTTTGATTTTTATTTATTTTATTATTAAGACACAATTACAGACAACAGAATAGCAAACATATAGCAGATCTAACATTAAAATAATACTTAAGTATATCTGTGCCCAATGACAATTGTGCACAACATTTGCTATAAACTAATAATAAGTGACACTTAGAATACAATTAATATTTTTTTTAAATACAACATAAAACAACCAAATTAGTAACTATGATTAAATACTGTCATTAACCGAAACAATAACATCAATTTTAAATTACATAATCGGTTTCAGCTCATATAAAAGTTTATTAAATTTGGGAACACTACAATTAAAGATATCACAACTGGAGCAGATTTCGTTGTAATGAGTACACATTCTGTTAAGAGGGTTATTTTGTGAGACATTATTTTTAGAAGGGGGTACTGAAAACAATCGCTGCGAACGCGGAGACCGAGTCGGCACCCGAATAAAGAGTTTTCCCAGCAGACTACTATCAGATAACCCATTAGCTATTTTGTGCAAAGTGCGTAAATCGTACATCCGTCTACGTTGCTCTAATGAGATCATATTGAAATAGCTAAGGCGTTCAGAGTATTGAGACAGTTTCCTACGCAATCCACTTTTTGAGCATAAGGCACGTACGAATCTACGTTGAATAGCTTCTATTCTATCAATATGAGTTTGATAAATAGGGTACCAAACTGATGAGCAATACTCCAAAACACCTCTCACTAGCGATCTATATAAAATTAGCAACGTTTTTATATTTTTAAAAGGTTTGGCTTGACGTAGAATGAAGGATAGCATACGATTAGCCCTACAACAGATATAATCATAATGGGGCCTAAAAGTAAGAGTAGCATCATAATATACTCCCAAATCCCGAACGGTCCCAACTCGACACAGAGCACTACCACCGATTTTATAACTATAAATCAAAGGATTTTTCTTCTTTGTGGAAGTCATCACCTGGCATTTGTCAGTGTTAAGTGTCATGTGATTAGCTACACACCAGTCAGCAGCAAGATTCAGACTATGTTGCAAAACACCGCAATCCTCTGTATCTATTACAGTACCAAAAATTTTTATATCGTCAGCAAAGGCAAGGCATTCGCTTTCGATTTCGATTTCGATCAGAAGGTCGTTAATAAAAATGAAAAACAGAAGCGGCCCCAAATTTGAACCTTGTGGGACACCCGAACTCGGAATAAATGGATACGATTCATACCCACTAAGCGCAACGAGTTGAGAACGATTAATTAGGTATGAAGCCAGCCATCGCAACAAATCTCCCTGTATACCAAGTTGTTCCGCTTTAATTAGCAGTATCGGATGGCTGACTCTGTCAAATGCCTTAGCAAAATCCATATAGATGGTATCAACTTGTCTTCCATGATTAAAAGAATCACATAAAAAAGATGTGTAAATAAGAAGATTAGTATTAGTTGATTTTCCTTCCACAAAACCATGCTGCCTCTGACTAAGCAGCGGACTGATGTGATTGTAAAAGTGCTGATAGAGAAGTGACTCAAATGTCTTCGCGAACCAGCTGAGCACACTGATGGGCCGATAGTCAGTAATATTGTGTCTATCCCCAGACTTAAATATAGGTGTAATTTTAGCAATTTTCCATAGAGATGGAAATGTACTTTCGCTGAGTGATTTATTATAGATTAAAGTTAAGGGTTCAACAAGTGCCGAAGCACACATATGTATAAGAATAGGTGGGATACCATCTGGTCCTGCACCCTTAGATACATCCACATTTTTTAGCATAGTCTGAGACGTATATCGGCTTTTTATCTCCAGCGATACCAAGAAGCGCCGTATTAAGTTTGTCATCCTTATTCGCTTTATTATACCTGTATACATACAGATGAAAAAAAATCATCACGACGAGTGATATTGCTGAATTTCACTATAATTGTACGAGACTGTGTACTACTTTTATTTAATTTTGCGACTCTCATACAATTTATTATATCACCGTCTTTGATTGAGCAGCCAACAACAGAGGAACAGTGCTTTAGGAGGTTAACTAAATTCTCATTGCGATGTTCAGGTATTCCATGAAGTTCCAAGTTACATTCTCTAAGGTATTGCTCAGTATTATTTAAGCGATCGGACAGTTCACCCACGACAGCTTGCAACAATAGATTATCCTTTTTAAGAGAGTTATTATCCTCTTTCAAAAATTTTATATCCTTTTTTAGATCCTTTTCCGGCGTCTGACAAGTAAACACTTGGTTATCACCTCTCTCAATAATAAATGGAAATAAGTGTCATTAGTGAAATAATAGTGAAAATACCTGAAGAAAAGCCAACAGTTCAAGAAAGCCTACGCTTTGGATGCATAAGAACAGGATTATTATAATTATTGTTTGTGTTCCATAACCGAATGATGAGAGCCTGTTTTTGAAGGTTATAAAATTGAAAACAACCATAGACAAAATAGACGTTATTGTAGTGGTGCGCAAAGAATAAATAACCAATTATCGAACAACGCTTGTGCGCGCGGTAAGGTGTATTTACGAAGCCTGTTGCACCTTAGACGTGCGGCTAGTTACTTGCATATCTTATGCAGCGACCAAGTTGTAAGAACGAAAGCTGAATATTAATCAATTATATCACCAATCAAGTAAGTTTTTATTTTCGGTTCAATAAGTGCGCCTATAATTCACAAAAAGTCAAAAACTCAATTTCATCGTTATTTTATTCTCCACTTACGTATAAAAACATGCCACTGCGCCACTCGCCGCAACATACCCCAATTACATCTGAATCCATGTCAGCATTACTTCCGCAAACATATGACTCAGATACTCCATCCGAACGAAGTGGCAGTAGTAATATTAACGTACGTACTAAAAGAAGGCGGGAACCAGATGAAGATGTGAAGGATTTAAAGACAGAAATGAGAGACCTTTTCTTCAAACTTTCCACGTCTGTAGAACAACAATTTCAAGCTATCAAACAACAAAATATTGCATTACAAGAAAGCCTTCAATTTATGTCAGAGAAATATGACAGTGTGTTACAAAAAATTAAAAACATAGAAGGAGAACGTAGCGAAGATGGGAAAAAAATACAAATGTTAGAAGAAAGAGTGGATTTCCTCGAGAGGAAAATTAGAGCTACGAGCTTAGAGATTCGAAACATTCCCCTAAAATCGAGCACCGACAAATCTACGGAAACAAAAGATGAAATGTGCAGATTGGTGAAATCTCTTGCCAGATCAGTAAATGTAAATCTTCAAGAAGAACAAATAAAAGACATATATAGAATTAGATCAAAAAAGGACACAAACAAACCACTTATAATTGAGTTTAACAGCACTCTGACAAAAGACAATATCTTAAGAGGGGTTAAAACGTTTAATAAGGATAAGGCTATGGGAGAGAAGTTGAATACTAACCATCTTAACATTCCTGGACCTTCCAGACCGGTATACGTATCTGAAGCACTGAACCAAAAAACCCAAAAGCTATTCTACATGGCACGAGAATTTGCTAAAGAAAATAGTTATTCCTATTGCTGGACTTCAAAAGGATCTATATATCTGCGGAAGACTGAAGGACAGCCTCTCATCCACATAAACTCTGAGGTTGATCTAATTAAAATAAGAAATAAATGACTAGTTTCACAATACATATTATATAACTATTGCATGTTTTTTAGCATAATAAGCAAATATATACTTCAAAATGTTTCATATTTTAAAATTAAGTTTATTCTTCAAAATATTTCTAATTACTCACTCGTATACCTAAATATAACATCACAAAGGAAAATACAAATGTTGCACATATACACTCAAAAAACTATCCATACAAATAAATTTTACTACTTCGAATCTATACATCATACCAAAATTTTCGCTATACAAATAAACAGAAACATTTGCCCTCCAAATACAACAAGTACCAAAAAAGCCAAAATAAAACAACATGAAAATCCACAATTCACTTTTAATGACGAAAACTTTAAATTGAAATTGCAGCACACACTAACGAACATATATAAGATAGTCTGTCACCTTCAATCCTATATATGAAACTTTAAGCTCCATAGATAGCCTCCAAGTATCAAATTCTCACGCCTGTGAGCCAGAAGAGTGTATTAAGTTTGTTGACAAAACTATAAAGAGTCTAAAAATATTAACACAAAATATTCGTAGCATTTCAGCTAACATGTCTGGATTGGAAACTTTATTATCAAGAATTAATTTGGAACAAGATGTTCTAGTGCTGACGGAGTGTTGGTTATCCTGTAATCCGAATATACCACTTCTAGAGGGTTATAATGTCTTCCAAACTACTAAAAGAATAAATCAAAACGATGGAATAGTGGTGTATATTAAAAATAGTATCTCAGATATTGAAGTAATGGAACCAGATTATTTTGAGTGTAACTGTACGATAATAACTATAGGTAGAGAAACGTGTATTGTGGCTATTTACAGATCACCATGTGATAGAGATATCAATAAATTTCTAAGACATCTCGACTGTGTTCTAAATGATAACTCTGCATTTGCAAATATTGTAGTAATAGGTGACATAAATATAGATATAGCTGGAGAAAACTGCAATCATAACGCTTCGGAATATTTGGATCTGGTGGCTAGTCATGGATTATTACCCGCTCATACAATATCTACACACAACAAGGCATGTTTAGACCATGTCCTATTAAAAACTAAATTTGAAAGCACGGTCTTAGTAATAGATTCTACTGTAACCGACCATAATGCCGTTATGTTATCCATTCGTAAGATATGTTTTAATGAAAATACTTCAAAAATACATACAAAAATTGACAAAAATTTACTGGACAAACATATTAAAGAAATAGATTACTCGTATATCGATCATTGTATTGATGCGAATGAAGCATGTCAGTATTTTATAAACAGCCTCTCTACTGCAGTTTGTTTAAGCACCATCACTAAAACTGTCCCACATCGCCTACGAATTTTAAAGCCCTGGATAACTCCTGGATTGCTGCGGTGCATGAGAAACAGAGACCGTATGTATAAAAAACTTAAAACGTCTAGAGATAAAAAGATCTTAGAAATGACATTCAAAAGATATCGTAATTACTGCAACACATTATTAAAGAATATTAAAAGACAGTATGAGAGAGATAAACTAATTAAAGCTAAGACAAATCCTAAAAAGTTGTGGGGTGCCATTAAAGAATTTACGCATACAACAAAAGAGAAATCAACTGCTGATGAATTGCTTTCAATCACAGATTGCCCGGAAACGTCTGTCAATGAAACAAATAAATATTTTGTTAACGTTGGCAAAGAGCTAGCAGAGTCACCCCTGTTTTCATCAAATTACGATGACACCCGAATAAACAGTTCTCTTTTAAAAACTAAGGGTGACTCATTTGTTTTTCTGGAAACTGATGAACATGAAATAAAGCGAATAATTGAAGGCTTAAGATCTGATTGTGCTGTCGGAGCTGATGGGATTCCTGCTTTTGCACTTAAACAGTATAAGACGATACTTGTTCCACCACTTACAACCATTATGAATCTATGCATTAAAACCGGAGTGTTTCCAGACATATTAAAAAAAGCCTTAGTACATCCCATACACAAATCGGGTGCAAGAAATAGTGTTGCACATTACAGGCCTATATCGATACTGCCTGCTGTTTCTAAGATCCTAGAGAACATTATGAACACTAGACTCAAAAGTTACCTAGAGACTAATAACCTGATATCAGACAGGCAATATGGTTTTCGCAAGAATAGATCTACTGATGACGCCGTCCATGATCTAACAAATCATATAGTTGAAGCCCTTGATAAAAAAGAAAAATGTCTTTCAATTTTCATCGACCTAGCTAAGGCTTTCGACACGGTTAATATTCCTAGATTGTGTCTTAAGTTAGAAGGTTTTGGTATCCGTGGAAACCAACTTAAACTTTTTAAAAGTTACCTCAGCAATCGCACTCAATGCACCAGAGTAGGTAAATTTACTAGTAAAAGCCTTAAGATTACGCACGGCGTCCCACAAGGAAGCATCCTAGGTCCTACGTTATTTTTGTTGTACGTCAATGAAATGTGCGAACTTGTTTTGAACAATGGAAAAATAGTGGCATATGCTGATGATACAGTGTTAACCTTCAAGGGCAAATCATGGGAAGAAGCTTTCTACTCGGCTCAGGTTGGTTTCCAAAGGGTTATAAGGTGGCTGTCATTCAATAGGCTCACATTAAATTTAGATAAGACCACATTTATGACCTTTAGAATTAGAAACAAAAGTTGTTTTAATATAAAAAATTTAAAAATCAAGTATCATGCTCGTGCAGGGTGCAGCATCCAATGTGATTGTCCCGAAATCGTTCAAACAACAACCACCCGTTACTTAGGAGTTACTTTAGATAACAAACTCTCGTTCAAAGCCCATATAGACAACTTATCTGGAAGAATACGTAAACTTATTTATGTATTTAAGCACCTAAGACACATTGCTGATTCAAACACGATGAGACAGGTATATAGTGCGCTCGGACAGAGTATATTAGGATATTGCATTTCTTCGTGGGGTGGTGCTGCAAAAACTGACTTAATCAAACTTGAGCGCGCTCAGAGGGCAGTTTTAAAAGTCTGTACTTTCCAATCCTATCGCTTTCCAACTAGTGACTTATATAAATATTGTGAAGTACTTACTGTGCGGCAACTGTTTATCTTACAAATAATCTTAAGGCAACACGCTGTATCATCATGCTTACCCATTCTATTTAATCTATCACGGAGCAAAAGGCTAAAAAGAATCCCATATGACACTATATGCAAAACAGCTTTTGCGCAAAAATTTTTTTTGTTCCTTGGACGCTTTTTGTATAATAAGTTAAACAAATCACTCACATTTTACGATAAATGTAATTATAACTGTAAAAAGATGGTGATAAAATACCTCTTGAATCTCACATATGAAGAAACAGAATCACTCATTTATCCTTTAACATAAAATTCACACACACCTACAAACATGCATACACATACTATCACACACACACACACACACACACACACACACACACACACACACACACACACACTCGAATGAGTTAAAAATAAAAACAGTGAGCAAATCTTATATACATATGCATTCCCGTAACCAAGTTAGTTTACTTTGAGAATCTGTAAATTTGCTGGTGCTTAATGCTCAGGTATTCCTTTTTTAAGCACCAGCTGTGTATTTTATTGTAACCCTAAGATAACTAAGCATAGTACCGCTATTCATGTAAAAAATGTAATCATGAAGTCAATAAACAATTTTATTATTATTATTATTATTATTATTATTATTATTATTATTTTTCATATCTTCAAACTTTGTATTAAAAAATTCAAGAGAAGTGCGAAAGTCCTTTAGCTCATTTTGAATCGGTAGCAATTCCTGCTGTAATAACTTAGACAATAGTACAGGCAACTCAGTTTTAATTGAGTTAAGCACCCTTTCGCTAATTGCGGAAATTATATCCTCGTCCTGGCCCGAACCAAAACGAACATCATGATATTTTAGGTTTGGTCTCCGAGTAGTGACGTTATCGTGATCCAAAACTACATCATCCTCGTTTCCTGGAGAGCACTCAATTTCAACTGCATGAAAAGCACGAGCGGGTGTGTTAGTATTGCTAGTCTTAGGCTGTTTGCTTTTACACTCGGAGCAAACCCATTGCAATTTATTGGTCTTCGTCATTGAGTTTCGAAAACAATGCACCGATACATTTGCACATTCAAGGTCGTAAATTTTTGTACAGCATGCACATTTTAAGTTATCGTTTGTATTATACTTTTTGCGACAACCAGCACATACAAATTGAGTTGGCGCCATTACAAATAAGTAAAATTTTTTACTTAAACTTGATACGTTGCGTTGTCACCTCTGGGATGATTTATGCCGCATACGTAACCGTCGATATGAGCCTTTGTTGATCGATGATATGAGCACACTAATAATAAAGGACCGCCTCGTTGAAACAAGTTGCTGGTTGAGTCTTCGCGAGAAGAAGGGCGCAAGCGCCGTGCTATGGGCGTCACTTACGCGTTTTGATCGATGATTATTCCAATTGTCTTGAGGGTTAGAGAAAATTTTTATTCACTGTGTGGAGATTTCCAATCACTGTGTTTTCGCACAAAATTAACAATTATACTTTGTGCTTCATCCTCGAGATTAGAAGACAATTGTAGTATCACGTAGTTACTCACTAGTCTTACACTATAGTTGAAAATGGTAATTTTTGTTAGTTAAAGTAGAAATTTTCTATGATTAGACTGGCAACACCAGAATTCCCCCACTATCGTTATGTCACCAGGTAGCCATTTTGCTCGAATCGAAACCTCATTCGCGTTTTAGTGCTCCGCTAGTCTACACGTCTACAATTCTCCATCTATTTTATCACAAAGTAAAATGCCTAAAAGAGTGACTCAGGAGGAAAGTGATGAGTATATTCGACATAAAATGAGAAAAATTGAAAAAGAATTGAGGAAACGCAAGAAACATTCACGACGCATAAGTTCCGATACCAGCAGTGAGCCGAGAGAAAACCAGGAGTCTCCCGGGCCATCATTACTTGAAGGTACTTATCAAATTGTTAATCTATAACAAATAATCACTGCAATATAATATATAGAGGGTAGATATCAATTTATTTCGAAGGTAGATGTTTAATTTAGTATTTAATTAAAT